TGCTTTGTTTTCTTGTTGCTCCCATAACCAATGTTGGGCATCAAAATCTGGCCCTTGAATCTTCTACGCACCCTATTGTCAATGCCTCTGGGTTTCCGCCAGTTCCGCTGAAAAACAACAACACATAGATGGGTTAGTGTCTATGCAGACTGCCAACTCTTCCTTTTGGAAGAAAAAAGGGCACCAAACGAAAACTAACAGTAGCAGTCTTTGGGTTACAGGCTTTCACTATTTCTTTACATATTTTTTAGTGAAGAAATAAAGGGCTCCTGTGGACCCACATCCACACTCCTCCTAAGCAAAGGAAAAGCATATTACACACCAATGGAACATGAGGAGATTGTGCACAGTTAAGATGAAGAGAATCGGTTCCCACAATGCCCTCAAGACTTAAGTTTTCTCATCTATAAAATAAGGATAATTACCCCTCACACCATCAAGGCCACCTGAAATAAGCCTCTGGACACCTCAAAACAGCCAAGTGTGTCACTTAAATTCCAATTTACACTTCAAGAGGCTGAGTTCCAATAAATGCCTAGGTTTCTACAGTGAGCTCTTCCACCAACCAGACTTGTTGATTCACCTGCCAAAGGTAATCTTCTAAGTGATGTCAGAAACCCAATCGTAGCTGATTCAGGAACCCTTTTCTTCACCCCAACACGTACTTCCACTTCCACCCCAGAACCACATACCTTAATTTTGACATATCGGTCTGACTGGTGCCGGATGAACTTCTTGGTCCTCTTTTTGACAATCTTGGGTTTCACGAGGGGTCTGAGGGCGGCCATGGTGCCTTTAAAAGAGACAGGTACCTTGAAACAAAGCACAGTCCTGACAAGAGGCTGTCCTTGCCCGGGGCTTCAGCGCTGTCGCAGAGTGCCTTCCACTCGCCAGCTACGGAGCAAGCAGGGAATGGAATGGGTACCTCTGCCAGGCTGTTTTCCCTCCCGTCTCCGAAGCTGGCAGAATATTAGCCAACTCGCCAGACGCGGTCCTGGGAGGTTAGGCGTCGCCTCGCCCACTCAAAGCCAAGAAAGAATCCCAATGGCCGGCCCCAAACAAACTGGCCCCCAAATGTCCTCAGCAGGCAAAGGGGCAGCAGATCCTACGCCCCAGTGTCCCAACCCCCAGCCGGTCCCATCTCCTTGTAGTTATGCCGGCATTTGACAAACCACGTGAACTGGACTCTGTTGTCTCACCTATAAAAACGGAGACACTAATGCACGCTGAACGCGTGCCGTGCGCAGACTAGGGCAGGCGTTTGGTAGAGAGAAACCTCTAGGTTCACTGCTAAAACGCCCCCGGGCCTTTGAAATGCCTCCCTACCTAGAGATCAACTCAAAAGTTACCTTCCTCAAGGTGTCAATTTGCTCGCACACAGTAGGTAGTAAATGCACAGTCCTCCCATTGATTTCCTCCAAGACAAAAGAAATAAAGGGCTCCTGTGGACCCACATCCACACTCCTCCTAAGCAAAGGAAAAGCATATTACACACCAATGGAACATGAGGAGATTGTGCACAGTTAAGATGAAGAGAATCGGTTCCCACAATGCCCTCAAGACTTAAGTTTTCTCATCTATAAAATAAGGATAATTACCCCTCGTACCATCAAGGCCACCTGAAATAAGCCTCTGGACACCTCAAAACAGCCAAGTGTGTCACTTAAATTCCAATAAATGCCTAGGTTTCTACAGTGAGCTCTTCCACCAACCAGACTTGTTGATTCACCTGCCAAAGGTAATCTTCTAAGTGATGTCAGAAACCCAATCGTAGCTGATTCAGGAACCCTTTTCTTCACCCCAACACGTACTTCCACTTCCACCCCAGAACCACATACCTTAATTTTGACATATCGGTCTGACTGGTGCCGGATGAACTTCTTGGTCCTCTTTTTGACAATCTTGGGTTTCACGAGGGGTCTGAGGGCGGCCATGGTGCCTTTAAAAGAGACAGGTACCTTGAAACAAAGCACAGTCCTGACAAGAGGCTGTCCTTGCCCGGGGCTTCAGCGCTGTCGCAGAGTGCCTTCCACTCGCCAGCTACGGAGCAAGCAGGGAATGGAATGGGTACCTCTGCCAGGCTGTTTTCCCTCCCGTCTCCGAAGCTGGCAGAATATTAGCCAACTCGCCAGACGCGGTCCTGGGAGGTTAGGCGTCGCCTCGCCCACTCAAAGCCAAGAAAGAATCCCAATGGCCGGCCCCAAACAAACTGGCCCCCAAATGTCCTCAGCAGGCAAAGGGGCAGCAGATCCTACGCCCCAGTGTCCCAACCCCCAGCCGGTCCCATCTCCTTGTAGTTATGCCGGCATTTGACAAACCACGTGAACTGGACTCTGTTGTCTCACCTATAAAAACGGAGACACTAATGCACGCTGAACGCGTGCCGTGCGCAGACTAGGGCAGGCGTTTGGTAGAGAGAAACCTCTAGGTTCACTGCTAAAACGCCCCCGGGCCTTTGAAATGCCTCCCTACCTAGAGATCAACTCAAAAGTTACCTTCCTCAAGGTGTCAATTTGCTCGCACACAGTAGGTAGTAAATGCAGTCCTCCCATTGATTTCCTCCAAGACAACGACACAGTTACAGATTCCCAGACATCCTGACCCGATAACCGAATTTTTGGTAACTGAGCGAGTCGACACGACAACTCGGTTTCTCTCTTTTTCCTTTTATTTATTTTTGTGTGGCAGTTCCGCCGCAGGCGTAAACCCAGGGCCAGAAACTATGGGGAAGGGAGCGTCGGGCAACAGAAACAGGTCTTTTAACACATGGGCGGATATCGCTGATCTACTGAAGTAACCTAACGACTCGGGCCCTGGCCAGTGAGGCTGCAAACCCCGGATCGCTCCACGCCCAGCGAGGGCCCCCTCCGTTTGGTTTCAATCGGCGCCGCGCGCCCCCACGGCTCAAACAAGCTGCCCGCAGCTCAGAATGACCGCAAGCGGCCGCCGTACGAGCAAACGTCCCCGGCAAGCCAACCTCCAACACCGGCCGGGTCACCTCGCTGTATTCCTGTAGGCGATCCAGCCAGGCGGCAAGGAATACACCCAGTGAGACGACCCCTCGGAAGGACAAGCTTCCTCACCAGGGAGCGACTGGGCCTGATGGACAACGCGGAGACACAGATGGCGGAAGATTAAAACTCACCGATTAGGAGATGGCTGCCACCTCCGTAGGCAGCGCCGAGGAAGAGAGGGGAAGATGCCGCGCGAGGCCTGATGGGACTTGACCTCTGGGTCCTGGCAGGGAAAAGGAGAGCACTTCCGGTTCTTGGTGGTTCAAAAATAAATATCAGAGAAATAACACTGGAAAAACTGAAGGTTACCTGTGTTTTAATAGATATTAATGTCTAGGAGTAATACTGAAAAAGTGTTCAGACCTGCTATTGGGACTACGTAGGATATTTGGAATTCTTTCTGAGCTTCTAAGACCTGGTGGGGGCACCCACTTCCGCCAGAAGTTGAAGCTGCTCTTCCGCCTCCAGCTTTTTTATTATTTTCGCCCTGGTTTCTTCTGCTCCAAAGCGCGCCTCTTGTGGGCCAGGAGGAAGCAAAATAAAGACTTCATAATATGCTCTCACGTGAGTTATTGTAAAAAACAATGAGACTACGTAAAATAGCTATCATGCAATGGGATTTATTATCCTTTCCACAATTCTACCAAGTAAATATATTATTTTACATATGTAGAAAGTGAAATTTGGGGGTTTGACAAACTCCACACTTCTAACCATTAGGCTAAAATGGCCAAGTTTTTTATTGTTATTCTTGGTTTGGTTTGTTTAGTTTTTGGTTTTAAGATTAGCGCGAGCCCTAGCCGGTTTGGCTCAGTGGATAGAGCGTTGGCCGTGGACTAAAGGGTCCCGGGTTCGATTCCGGTCAAGGGCATACGCCCAGGTTGCGGGCTCGATCCCCAGTAGGGGGCGTGCTGGAGGCAGCCGATCAATGATTCTCTCTCATCATTGATGTTTCTCTCTCCCTTCCTCTCTGGAATCAAAAATATAAATAATAAAAAAAAAGATTAGTGCAAAAGTCAAATTTCAGAAGAAAAAAATGTCCCTGGATCCCACAATACTGATGTTATTAGTGATCTTGATAGGAGTAATTCCAGGCGCCAGATGGAGACAGGTGCTAAACTGGATGTGCTCTTAACTGAATGAGAAGTAAGAAGAGAGGAGAGTGAGTGTTGCCAACTCCGTCATGAGATTTTGATTGTGAAGGGAAGGGGCGTTTGAGACCCAAAGAAGTGAACCGTGAAATGTGAAGTCAAATGTCTTGTTCCAGGCCACATATTTGGCAAACGTAGTTGAGACTAAAACCCCTTTGTGAATCACACCTCATGAATCCTGCTTATCCTGTGGTCTGTGGGGAGTCACATGGGATGCAGAGCAGGGAGCACTGTGTTAATAGCTGCCCATATCTACCTATGAACCAGGGGGACACTGTTGGATTCCGTCATGTGGTCAGGGAACATGTCTGAGTTGGGGGCTTGATCCCCAGTGGAGAGCGTTCAGGAGGCTGCCAATCAATGATTCTCTCTCATCATTGATGTTTCCATCTCTCTCTCCCTTTCCCTTCCTCTCTGAGATCAATAAAAAATAATTATTTTTTTAAAAATAGCTGCCCATATAATGGAAACGGTTTTGACAGCATCAGATGGGTTAATCAGACAAAGAGCTCATGAACCAGAGCGCATGCTTCCAATTGCAAAAGACTCGGGAGATTTGGAAGAAGTAATCCAATGGCTCAGTTTGGGGGGGGGG